GACCACAATATATTTCATTCATTCACTTGAAACTAATTAATCAATAAGTAAAAAATAATTGCCAGGTGACTGACCTCAATAGTTCATTTAATTTAATTTAAATAAATCAAATATTTAAAATGCTGTAGTTATAACTGTGGTTGAAGTAGTGGTATCAGTTTAGTCACAGCATCAAAATGTAGAAATAAAGGATGCATATTATGTAAGATTTAGGATTTTATATGAGCTACTATTGACATATACTTACTGTATGTGTCTTATGACCTAGGAGAAGGTCCATTCCCTGCGGTGTTGGATCTGTGCACCTTCATGTCAGAGAAAAGACCCAGTCTGTTGGCCAACAAAGGGTTCGTAGTTCTGGCTGTACCAATTTACACTGACAAGCCCGACAACAAACCAATGCATCTGGACCACTTTAAAGAAGCAGTGGATTTCCTACGACGACAACCAAAAGTAAGTTAAGTAGCTGATACTGTCAAATGATAGGTTCAGAGTTTTTCTGTCTTAAAGCAAAGCTACCCAGATGAATATGGAAACAAACTTTTCTTGCTTGTTCCTGCTGTTCATAGTGACCAGTAAAAGCTCCTTCCCTGATTCACACTGTTAATGATGGTGGAAAAAATCCAGTCTTCTTCTAATGCAAAAACATTTGAATGTTTATTTTAACATAAGGCCTCATCAGTCAAGTGGATGTCTTCCAGTGTTAAACCTCTTTAACACAAGATAATCTCTTTGTGGTTCGCTGCTCAGCTGCAGTGGCTGGATATTAATTTAAAAAATTGTACTGAAAACTCAATAAGACTGTCAACAAAATTTGTCTGACTTGGGTAACTAAAGCTTCACATTAGCCTCAGATAAATTTGGAATGTATTTTTTCACAACTGGATCCCTAACGCTACTCACCTACACATTTAACCCTTTTCTTGTGGTCTGCAGACAAACCTTACTAAAATAAAGCCAAAAGAATAACAGTTTTTAAAACAAAATCCCATTCCTTAAGCTGTCTCCAACACATTTCCATTGATTTTCATATATTGGCACAAGGTCATATAGCTTTCACAATAAAGTGTTAAATGCATGTGCTTATATAGTTTTATCATGCAGTTTATTAACTATGTTGGCAATAGTTTTTTTGTAAACTGATTCACCTTCTTAGCCCAGTTTCTAAACTCTGTGTTTAAACATATTGTAGCACCTCTAATTTGCATCTCTTTCTTTATTCATAGGTGGGCAGCAAAGGAGTTGGAATAATAGCACGCTCAAAGGGAACAGATATTGCACTTTCACTTGCAGCTTTTGTACCAGGTGTTGATGCCACAGTGTGGATCAATGGCTCCAGCGGCATTGTGGCTGTTCCACTGTACTATAAAAACCGCCAAATCCTCTCACCGCTAACCTTTGACTTGAGCAAAGCATTTCGTGTTGAATCTGGAGCTACCATGATCAAGTATGTTTTGAACAGTCCCCTGGCAGAAGAAAACAAGGGCGCCGTGGTCCCCATTGAACAAGCAAAGGGACACTTCCTCTTTGCGGCTGCAGAGGACGACCTGAACTGGGACAGCAAGGCTTACATGGACCAGATGGTAGAGAGACTGAAGCACCACAGGAAGGAGAACTTTGAGAGTGTGTGTTACCCTGGAGCTGGACATTTACTTGAGCCCCCGTATGGACCGTTCTGTCCCTCTGCTATGCATGGGGTCCTCCGCACTGCAGTTGTGTGGGGGGGTGAGCCCAGGGCCCATGTAGCAGCTGAAGTCCACCTGTGGAAGAAGATCCAGGACTACTTCAGAACTCACCTAAGCTGTGATGTTGCACCGTCTGAAGCCAAGTTATAGGTGCAAATAAGATGATAAGAAAGACACAGTAACAGATCATGATATCATGGCTGCAAAATAACAGTAGCTACTAGTGTTTACAGTTGGATGTTTTCTAATGAAGACAACATGTTATATTTTACTATATCATGTTTTGTAAAGTGCTGATGACCCTGGTGAAGGTTTACTGCATTTAAAATAGAAAATAGTAGACTTCTAATTATAATCTGCAAATAAAAAAGATACAGAAAGGCAAATTAATAGCATTTTGAGAATGGAATGTTAAATTGAAAAGTCTGAAATTAAGGTTAATAAAAACAAATGTAATAAGTGCTAAAGAAAAACAACCCCCTCTTTGTCTTTATCCAACACTTTTGCATTATCTGTTTCTCAACATGAAACTCCTGGCACTTTTCCCATAACTCTAAACACTACTCACAGTTTTCAGTGTAAAGTAGTTGTGTTCTATTTTTTTTAAGTTATGACTGTTAAACATGTTTCTTCTTTCAGTATTAGTTTTTCAAAATTGCTAAAACAGATTTCTTAAAGCCTAAAAACTAAAATCAAACTAAAAACTGTGAACACAAAACCCATTTTTCAAACTAGTGAGTGAGATTGTTTAGAGGTTTGCAACAAATGTTGAATCACATCCGACAACTACATCTAGTTTCATAAACACACATTAAGGCATAAGTGTTGCATGAAACTGTAAATGTGTACCTAATAAAGTGGCAGTAAGTGTACTTTATAACTTTAGTTAGTTTTCAGAACAGAATATTTTTTAAAACGTGCATCATAAGACAATATTGATCTCTGATGGAAAATTCACATACTAACAATGAGCCGCGATTCTAAGTCTGTGAGCCTCGCCTCCAATGCTGCTAACATCTGACATTTGTTACAAGTACCATTGTCGCTAAAGGAGGCAGAGGAATAACTGAACATGCGACACTCCGAGCAAAAGAAAGAAGGAGAGGAAGAGGGGGAAGCCATTGCTCTCAACTAAACTACTAGCTTAGCTAGCTTCTAAGCTAGCTGACCTAAAGTAGCAATTTAAATTAGGAAATTCTGTAACACGGGTGCTTAAGGAATGCAATGTTGTGACTAAAAATTAGCTGACGATCAGATAAACCTAGAAATTAGTGAGCTTAATCCGTAAACAATTTGGTAGCAAGCACAACACGGTGCAGACCCAGCAAACAGGAAGTGAACAAATCACCGCAGGAACAGGAAACAGCAGAAGTTCAGGCACCAACAACGGCCAAACATATGGATGCATTCACAAAAAAAATTATGTCATGCGTGTCTTTCTTTACTCTATTGATGGTTTGTGTTTGCACAACTGCATTATCCGTTGTCCTTTAAATAACACAATTTCTGTATATCTCTGTGAACTTCAAAGATCTTTCCTTGCAAAATCTTTTTAGGTCACCAAAGAAAACTATGCTTTGAAATGAGCGCTTATTTTCCTGGAAATTAGTCGGTTAGTGTGAAAGAAGTGTGTGGCATTTGGTGCAAAGGTTTGATTTCGGTAAGTGTTTTTGTAGTTGTGTGTAGTGCTTCATTTTGCACGGCGTGTGAGGCATTTTGCGCTTTAGTGAATTAAGCGTTTTGAGACAGTGAGCCGTCTTGTCAAAATTGTATGTTAGCAATTGAAAAAACTATAAATGCATTTAAGTTTGCAAATAAATTCAACTCAGTTTAGGTACTGGAATTCGGTATATATAAGCATAAACTTTATGCTTATACGACAGGGTATTGCTGCAAGCAATAGGGTATTGGATGTCAGCACTTGTAAAAGGCTACGGACAAAGACAAAATGAGTTATAGTGTGTAAGATAATACAGCTGTTCGAGAGACTTTAGAGTTTTGCAACAAAAGTTGAATCAGGTCCGAAAACTGCGTCTAACCAGGTGGATATCGGGTTTTGCAAAAAGAGTGATTCATTCGATAAATGAGTTTTGGCAGCTGTCACATTTGTATGCGGCTTTTAATGTTTTAGCAATTCAGAAAAACTGTCATAGCCTATATAAAAATACAGATATATTACTAGTACGCAAAATACAGCTTTCATCGTATTGTAGGGGCTTTTATTGTGAAGGAGCTACTGCTTCCTGTCAGGTTGCATACCGGCGCCTGTAGAGTGCGGACCATAAACCAACTTTATCCTGTATGTTAAGCCCGGATCTTGTAAACACTTTGTTTATAATCTTTTGACACAGAACATTTTTAAAATATTCCCGTGACTGAAAAATACGTTGCGTGACCAGATTAAAAGGTGGGAGCGCCAAATAACGGCCGTTTGAACGAACGAAGGTAAGAAACGACGATTAACATTAACATGTCATCAAAAGACAGTGAAATAAATAGAAGACATTTAAACTCACAGTTTTAACATTTTCATTTTAGATAAACAGCTGATTTAACTGCAGGAAAGTCGAATCTCTACTTTTCCAACTTCTACATTTCAGCCTTTTAATTATTGCTTGCCTTTCCGGTTTACAGTGAGAAATTATCCTCTTACATGATATGTACTCACTTTGAATGTTTTGTTGATGGACTAAAATAAAACCAGACCCCGTTGCTCTAATTGTGTGTACATTTGCACAGTACTTTTTTTTTCAAGCGTCCCTGAATGTGAGTCGACAGTTTTCTATTACCTTGTAACTGTCTGTCAGAGGGATTACAAACGCAATCTTTAATAGATTTTGTGATTTTATGTCTGAGAGGAATGGTGCTGCTCAAGGACAGTGACTATGTTTACGAGGACTGTGTGGTTTATGAGACCCAAAGGTCAAAACCGAACTGTTTAACACTAGTGATTCATCAACTGACCACCAGTGTTGAGGAAGTTAAAGCATAAACGCATACTTTTACTTCACACTGGAAGAAGCTGAACTACTGCCAAGCTTTCCTAGGGAAAAATCTAGTTTGGTTAACTAAAGCTACTTAGAAAAGGTAGTTCGGACTCTTGTTTGTGTATCTATATATGCTGTCTTGCATTTCCAGCTGCAGCCATTATGCAAGGTAATCCACTGTAGGAATATTTGGATTATTTATATTAGGTCCTATTCTGATTGGCTGGGGTTGAAGAGGAGTCATCACCCCAGACAATCAGATCAGGTGCTTATGAATAATGTAAATTTTATACTAATAACTTCTGAAACAGCTGCTAGAGGACAGAGGAGAGTCTGGGCTGTTTGTAAAGATGGATTTAGAGAAATCTCAACAACTTTGGGTGAATAAAATGTCACAGATTGTTTAAAAACTCAGTAATTGTAAAAATGGGTCAAAAGGCCCGTTATTCCACCACTTTAAATAGGTGTCTTAGAGGAAAATTTAATTATATGTGTAATTGTTTTTTAAATTTGTTTAGTAATGGTGGTAAAGTTGTTAAAGCCACACTTAACTGATTGATTTTGTCTCTACAATGTCACATTTCCTTCAAAGTGTTCTGTATGTGAAAGCTGTCCTGTTTTCTTTGTTACAGTCACGGGACAGAGTCTGAATTTGTGAAGTGAGGCTCTTTAGTTTGTGAAGAGATGTCCTCCCAAGTCAGAATGAGGCTGCTGCCAAGCGCCAGATGCTTGTTTGATGAGCCTGTTCAGCTGAAGGTGTCCGGGCTGAGGTCAAGACAGGTGGTCACTATGAGAGCCAGATCTGCTGATGAGCGAGGAGTGGTGTTCAGCTCCTCAGCCACCTACAGGGCTGATGGGAGAGGGGAGATCG